ACAATTCAGCAGGAACAGTGACTTAAACTACTGCTTCCTTTCTACACCATCTCTCATGTGGTATTTCATGAAAGCTAGGTTTGCTTTCCTGACACCTCTGCAGGTAACTACTCCCATACTTTCAGTCTGGACACCATTAGCACTGCCTGTACCTCAGCTTCCTCCAGGGAGGCTTGGATTTCAGATTTCTCCTGCTCAATCTGCTTCTTGACTTTCTCCAGCTCATGAATCGCCTTTCCTCCCTCAGCAATCTGCTCCGTCAGGTCAGCAATCTCCTCTGTGGGAACAAAGACCAGCAGCATGGTCAGGCACAGAGCTGAATGGGAAGGGCCCTGTCACACCAAGGTTACAGGCATCTTTGCAGACCTGCAGGCACAGAGCCACGTGGAGCAGTGGGTAGTGAGCAAGCCCTGCCAGGAGCAGAGGGCCAGGGACTTACGCTGCAAGTTCTTGTTCTCACGCTTCAGTGTTTCCAGGTGGTCCAAGGACTCCTCATAGGCATTCTTCATCTTAAACAGCTCTGTGCTGAGAGAGCGAGACTCCTTCTGGGAGGCTTCCAGCTCAGCCTGTGTTTCCTCATACTTCTGCTTCCACTCCGCCAGGATCTGAAGAGAAATGTAGTGTGAGTATGGATGTGGCAATCACGTCAATCATCAAGTCCTCCACTTCATTCTGCAGCCTCTGCTTTGTCTTTTCCAGGGAGGCACATTTGGCATTCACAGCTTCGACGTGTTCCTCTGCATCCTGCAACCGCTGTGCCAGCTTCTTCCTAGGAGATGGTAATCACAGCTCATAATTTGGGACTAAAATGGACAGTATTTCAGCTTCGACGTGTTCCTCTGCATCCTGCAACCGCTGTGCCAGCTTCTTCCTAGGAGATGGTAATCACAGCTCATAATTTGGGACTAAAATGGACAGTATTTTTTCGTTTTCACCACAGTGATTAGGCACTTTGCAGTATTTGGTCCCCACAAACACACAGTGCAGAGCCTATCCAAGCCAGTAATTTTTCTTCCCTTTTTCTTTCCCCACTGTCTAGCTATGCTTCTGCCCTCTGCATACACCACTTGTTGCCTTTCTCCTGCACTCTTTGTCATGTAGCCTATTTTCCTTGTGTTTCATGTGACTCCTCCCCAGCCTACTACTAGGCTTTTGCCTTTCAATATCTCAGTGGTCTCTTCAAATTTCCATTACTGGTTTCTGCCAGCCTTCCCCACACTCCTCACGTACTTGGCCTCCTCCAGCTCCTCCGTGCGCTGAATAGCATCCGTCTCGTATTTGGTTCTCCACTGGGCCACTTCGCTGTTGGCCTTGGACAGGGCGCGCTGCAGCTCGTTCTTGGCTTCCTGCTCCTCCTCATATTGTTCCCGGAGCAAGTCACAGTCATGGCGAGCAGACTGCAAGCCATGGGCCAGGGCATTCTTGGCCTAGTGGCAAAAAGATTGCAATAAGGAGTAGATGTATCCTGGGAAATTTTCTATTACTGGCACTTAGACACTGGAATATATCCCAGAGAAATAGTGATTAACTGACTGTATGAAAAAAATAAAAGCCAGGGTCTGATACACTGCAAAAAGCTAGGAAACCCGTCATGGCCTGGCACAGCCTAGACTGCATGACCTTCTGGCATGTTTTGAACTTTTAATTAGACCTCATTTTGAAATCTTGAACACTGCACCAAAAACAATGATGTAAAGTATTTATTTCATATGTAACAGGAAATATCTTCACCTTTATCTCCTCCTCTAGTTGCCGCTTCAATTCTTCAATCTGCTGGGTGAAAGCCTGTTTCCCTCTAGACAGCTGAGATATTAAAGCATCTTTTTCATCCACCTGGCGTGAATATTCACCTGGAAAAGGTCATCATTAAGAAAATATTATAACAGCCAAGAGAGTCATTTAGGAGGTTCTCCCATTTCCAAACTAGAGATGGAAGTGCTGTACCAGATTCTGTCTGCAGGCGAGCTCTTTGAGCACTAAGATCACTGATCATGCGCTGATTCTGCTCCTCCTTTGTTTTAAATTCACTTAGCTGGTCTTCCAGAGTGCGGCACATCTTCTCCAGGTTTGCCTAAGTGTCAATCAAACGTAAGAAAATAGAGTTAATACCTCGATTCTGCACTAGTGACAGCAGGAGAATGTGTCCAGAAGATGTAGTTTACATATCTGGGGACTATGTACATACGCTCAAAGTTCTATACATTAGATTTGGAGAAAACAGTTATATTATAACCTGATAATAGTTAAATAAGGGAAGAGTAAACCAAAGACTACACTGTTTTCAAATTACTAACAGAGGTGTTTGTGTACCTTGGCTTTGGAGACAGACTCCATGTTACTGGCCAAGTCATCAATCTCCATCTTCAGCTCACTCTTCTCCTTCTCCAGCTTCTGCTTCACTCGTTGCAGGTTGTCAATCTGCTCCCCAAGCTCAGCTGTGCTGTCCGCATGCTTCTTCCGTAGGGTGGCAGCTGTGGCTTCGTGATGCAGCGTGGCCTCTTCGAGGTCGCGGCGCATCTTCTGAAATTCTGCCTCACGCTTCTTGTTCATCTCAATTTGGGCAGCAGTAGCCCCTCCCGCTTCTTCCAGGCGCTCGCTGATCTCCTCTAGCTCCCTGGAGAGGTCAGCCCGATGCTTCTCTGCTTTTGCGCGAGAGGTTCGCTCTGCCTCAATTTCCTCCTCCAGTTCCTCAATACGAGCCTG